GGAAGGCTGAGGTGGAAGGATCGCCGGAGCCCAGCAGGTCGAGGCTGTGGTGGCTGAGAGTGACCACTGCGCTCCAGTCTGGGCGACAGAGTGAGACTCCAACTCAAAAAAAAAAATTAAAAAAATAAGACTGAGAGATACAAAAGTAAAACAAAAAAAAAAAAAGAGAGAGAAAGTTTAGAGCGGTTCAAACTAAAATTTCAATGCTATGTTTTTGCATTTTTTTATAAAAGAAAAATACACATTTTACAATGTAATGAAGAAAGATCTGCCTGGCTGGATAGTAAAAGTACCATCATGAAAACATACAATAATTTGGAAAACTTAAAAGCCGCAAAAGTATAGACAAACTGAACAAATAAAATATCTCTGAAGAATATGCCCTGAGATATATAAAAACTTAGTATAAGCTAAAGGAAACAGCAACAAAAAAGGGAATAATGAATAATTCAATAACTGTTTAAATAACTGACGTTAGGAAAATGATTATTCGGAAAACACAGTATTACAGCATAATAAATTCTGAATGGAGTAAAGAGTTACATATAACTAATAGTAAAGGAACTGACATTTTGGTTGACTAGTTTATATTGGAATAGAGAGAAGAACTTTCTTAACAACAACAACAAAAATCAAACTAAATCTGATATATATATGGAATTTAATATAACAATTTCTATTGAATTTTTTTCTCCTCTATGCTACATTTTATATATTTGGCATATATATGTATGTAGGTATACATATATTTGTGTATATATGTATATATCTGACTTACTATATATATGCAAAATATATAAAACGTCATGTAGAGGAGAAAAAAACAAAATTTAATACAAATTGTTCTTGCCTTTTTTGCCCGCCAGATGGGGCCTCTTACTCCCTAAACTGAAAGCTCAGTATTGGAAACAGGCTGACCATGCTAAAATCCCCCCAACCCTACCAAAGTCAAGCCCAGCACAAGACTCAAGGATGTTTAGAAGGGATTGGGAGAGGATCAGGAAGGAAACAATGGGGTGGGGGTGGGAGGTTTAACTTACACAGCTGGAGGTCTCATTTAGCTCCAGACAGATACCCTGAGCCAATCTCACTTCTTTGATGTCTACACATTTTATTTCTCCCTGTATCAAAACAGAAACAATAACAAAGTAAATAAGCCAGCATCTTTGTCCCTCATTTATTCCCCATCGTGCTCCCAGTTTGGTTTCGTGAAAGTTTCTTAAGATGTTTTTGAGAAAAAGGACATTCAAAATGTATCAGGGGACTAGAGATTTCAAATAGTTATACCTTCTACCTCACCCCTATCCCCATCAGATGACCAAAACTTTTGTTACTAGCCTGGGCTTGCAGGCAACTAACTAGCTGTTTGCAATCTTGGCAAACATTGACCCGAATTGTGCAGAAATGGGAGAGGGGAGGCTCTTTTCTCATTAGGGCTGTTTTCTCTCCAGTCAATCACAGTCTTGTGGGAAGGTGAAACAGGCAAACAGTGAATGGAGTGAACCAGCAGATTCTGTTAACACCCATTTTCCTCCTGGCCTCCAGGACACTCCAAATTTCTATTATGGCTCCTTTAAAAACAGAAACCAGACAGAGCCCTTGAGCCTGTCCCCAAGTTCCACACCCTCATATTTTTTGCTATTTGTGCTGAAAGCTGTTGACAGCCACAGGCCCCAAGACTGAGAAGGGCAGGCTGAGCTCACCATCCCTGGTCTGCCCTATTTCTACCATTGCCAATGCTCCTCATGGCCTCTCTATGCCTGGCACAACCTCCAAGCCCTCTCACACAGAGAAAATGTTATTTGTGCTAAACATTTTGGGAGAAGCAGCCTCAGTTTCCTAATATTTCCAAAGAGGAATGGTGCCCTGGTCAAAGCCACACTAATAGGCACTATAGAGAAAAGCACAGAGGACTGGATGGGTTTCCACCAGCTCACTTTTACTCTATTTCCTAAAATGCAATATACCAAGCACAGATCAGCTTTGCCACCCAATTCCGTCCCTTTCTTCTCCTAGCAATATTTACACTGTGTATTTCCATGCTGATTCCCACATGACCCAAACCACACTGGCAGGATGAGGAGAGGTGGAGAGAAGAGAGAGCTTGCTTGCACATATAGAAGTGAGGGGGCAGACTGCCATCTTTGTTCCAATTCACCCACCTTGATGACATTTGGCGTAGGAGAAGGTAATGTATAGGGCTTAGTGGGAAATGTCACAGGGCTGGTGTTGTTAGGTGAAAGATCTGAAGCATTTCCAGGCGACATGCTGGTCACCTCTGAAGTCGAAAAGTTGGCTGGGGTGGTGGGCACTGTGACGGCTAGAGAGGTCTGTGGCTGGACAGAAGAGTTTGTGGTTCCATAAACTGGGATAATCCCAGAGGTAGATGTGAAGTTGACTGTAGTCTCTGGAATAGACCAAAACAGAGGTGGGCATGTGCGCACATGCTCGTACACATGTACACACACACACACACACACACACACACACACACAAAATCTTAGCTCATGACATGGGCATGGACTTCAACACAAAAAAAATACAGTTTGGAGAGTTATCAGTTACTTCCTGCCCTAACCCTGATCAAATTCATTTCAAGCCAGCTGTAGGAACCCATAACTCTAATCTAGAATGTATCAAAGGTGCCCTCAGGATTCTGAAACTGTAATAGATGCTGGTCCACCCCAGAGAAGCCAAAGACCCTTACTTTAAACCTGTACCCATCTTACTTCATTTAGAAGAGATCAGAGATCTCTATGGAGTCTTCATCTGATCCTTATTTTGTCACTAAGCTGAACTCAGCATGAGAGAAAGGGTACAAGGGCATTACTGATCAGAATCAGTTGTCAAGACATGGGCCTGAGAAGTCCGTCACTATAGGAAGAATTATCTAGAACTTACTTCAGGGCACCCTAGGCATAATGCTCCAACCATTAATATAAGGGGCTTGTATGATTTCATTGGTGGTGGGGGAGAGGTCTGCAAACATCCTAAATTCACCAGTAGCATCTCTTTGGGACTTGAGACAAACACTTTTTTTTTTTACCTGAGATGATTGCTGTGGTCCCATTGCCATCTTGAGAGATAGGATGGGAACTGGTACTTCCAAGGACATTTGGTGTTGTGGTTTCCTGGTCATATACTTTTGTATGAACAGTTGAAAATATTCCCAATGTAGATGACTCTGTGGCAATAGAAGTCAAGTAGTTGTTGGTACTTGTGAACCCAGAGGCTACAAGAAAATGAGAAGGAAAAATCAGAACCTAAACCTTCCTCTGGGGCCTCATAACATCGCCTGATGCAATTTCTTGACTTCAGGTAGAATTCATCTAGAACACTCCCTGCTATTCCTGGCAATGGAGCAGCAACAAGAACATCCTCCTGGACAGTGGACTAATTTCCCACTACTAGATTTGCTCCAAGAAACTAGAGGAGAAAGTCGTATGCAAAGTGTCTTGTTTAATATTATTTATAGAAGGAAAAAGCTTCAAGAAACTAAATGAATTACAATAGGATAAATGTCATATGCACTAAATATATCATAATTATTACATAATCATAGGCACAATCATTAGAAATAAAAATTTACGAAAATTGTAGCAACATAGAAATGTGAGGCAATGTTCATAATGTGTTTAGTAAAACACTAAAGTATAAAATTTCACCTGTGCAAAGATCTAAAATGTAAAGAAGGACATCCTTTTCCACATGTCCTTCTGTTTTTTGGCCATTGTTGATCCAATATATTAACTCTTGGAATAATCACTAGACTCACACTGTCTCTATGCAGGTCCCTTAAAACTCTTCTATGCTGGCAGGACTCAGTGGCTCAGCCTGTAATCCCAGCACTTTGGGAGGCCGAGGCGAGTGGCTTCCTGAGCCTGCGGGATTGAGACTCACCTGGGCAACTTGGCGAGATCTCATCTCTCAATAAATCAAATAAATCAATAAATCAAATAATCAATAAATCAAATAATCAAATAAATCAATAAATCAAAAATTAGCCGGGCGCAGTAGTGCACGCCTATAGTTCCGGCTACTTGGAAGGCTCGCCGGAGCCCAGCAAGTCAAGGCTGCGGTGGTCAGGAATGTGCGACTGCACTCCAGTCTGGGCGACAGAGTAAGACTCCAACTCAAAAAAAAAAAAAAAAAATCTTCTACACGTCTCAGACTTCCCCAGGCTCATCCTTTGAACCCATCTGCCTTTCTTTTAAGGAGTCAGATGCAGCAAGCAGCCTCAGAGTTCTTTTAGAAGACTCCGACCTAGGAATCCAGCTGATGGACTAGAAAACACAAGACTTGGCTTCTTGTCAATGCAGGGGAAGTTAGAGAGCTTAGCTTTGGCTCTGCCAATAACTGTAGTTTAATATGTGTGTTTCTCAGTTTACTGACTTCTCAAGGGTCTTCTCTGGCTACCTTACATGGATTGTTGAGAGAATCAATGAGATAACAAATGTTAAATTATGTAGTATAGCCGGGCTCGGTGGCTCAGCCTGTAATCCCGCGCCTTTGGGAGGCTGAGGTGAGTGGATTGCCTGAGCCCGCAGGTTCGAGACCCGCCTGGGCAGCGAGATCTCATCTCTACAATAAATCAAAAAATTAGCCGGGCATGGTAGCGCATGCCTGTAATTCCGGCTATTCGGAAGGCTGAGGCGGAAGGATCTCCGGAGCCCAGCGGGTCGAGGCTGCGGTGGCCGAGAGCAGCCACTGCACTCCAGTCTGGGCGACAGA